AAATTATGTAAAGCAAAGCTAAGAGTTGCTGCCTGGGAAGAAAATTAGTATATCATGTCTAGTGTCTGGAGTTCTTTATCAGTAACTTTTGAATTAAAAAGGTGAGGATATTACTTGTTATTACCTGATGAGTGGCTGTTCTAAGTGGTTTTTGTATTTCTTTCAGATGTCGCCCATTTAATGTGGTTTGAAAGACTCTATGTTTGGCTTCAGTGTTTTGAAAAATATGTCTTGTACCCAGCAATAATTTTGAATGCCCTCACTATTGATGCGTTTTCAATAAGCAATTACCGGAGACTTGGCACCCAGTAAGTGGATAATGGTTTATTCTCATAATGATTTGGGTCACATTTTCAACGTCTAGTGAATTTTCTCTAAACAGGCTGCAGAAGAAGCCAACTTCTACCTACTATTGGACGTAAAAGTAACCCACAGTAGTCTTTTACTCAAACCTGCTAGAGCTAGACAGTTATTTTAGAGTGACCAGGGTGCAGATGAAGTTAGATCTGCTTGAAGTGATATTGCGAATAAACGTCAGTAGATTTGAAAATCATCCTGCAAAAGCTTAGTCAGTGAGCCTTAGTAAGAAGACGGAAGCACAGTGTGAATCCGGGGTTCCTGGCGTTCTTACCGTCATGCTTAGAGCTTTATGAACTGCCTCGTGTCATTTCATTTAGCAAATACTCTATCATTTTGTGCTAGGGGGAGGAGGAAATTAGTCACTGTCACCGCTCTCTCTGCATTTGTCAAGAGAAGCCTCATAATTTAAAAACTGGCACAGAGACTTCATACTGTCAAGATGCCCATGTTTTGCAAAGTATTAACAATGTACAGTCGAGTTATTGGTTTCATATATTAAAATTAATTCTGAATTTACACATGGAAATCTCCTTGATAATCTGTGAATTTGTCATTCTGAGGAAAGGTGAAAGTTGCTGGTCAAATAAGTTGTTAGAGTGGGAGGATGTGAAAGAGATTCTATCGCAGATTTGCTTATTAGTCACGTTGCTTAAACACTGTGTATCCAAGTCAACCCTGATACATAATCCCGAGCATACTAATTCAAACCTGCTCTTCCTTTCAGAGTGTCATGAGGACAAATTAATTAATATTCACCAAAGATTTAGCACGCTAAGATATAATAAAAGGCATTTTAATACTCTGTTGGACTTTGGGTAGATTTGCAGTCACACAAAGCAGACACTAAATGAAATGAATGATCCCCCAACCTTTCTGTCTTTATTGGACTCTGTCTTCCTTCCAGTCCAGACCTGTTTCAGTTAGACCAGGGCAAGAATTCTATGTCCTTTGGTACTTAAAATTCTAGACTTCAGATGCAAGAATGAAAATCAGTCTCACTAGATTTTAAAAAAGCAGACGATGTGATTTCAGACCACTTAGACAGTTTAGGTGGGATCCAATCTCGCAGACGCCTCTCCACCTGCAACATCGTGTCCTTTTCTAGTGGCGGGGATTCCCAGTGTGACAGCATTGGCTGATTCCATGACTACCTCCCAGAACAAGGCAGAGCCTCAGTTTCTAAAATGAGGGCACACAGTCAAAGCCAGAGTAGCAGAGAAAGTACCAGTGCCACCCTGGGGAATCCAGCTAAAGGGTTTTAAATTTCTCCCTCTTCAGCTTCAGGACAAAGACCTTGGGCTAAGCCTGCAGGTTGAGGCCAAGCTGTCGGAGAAGACTGATACAAGGGCTGGGACTCCTGCAGAGTGAGATAAACAGTTCAGTGGGAAGTAATATCACCCTGAATCCCCTGTAATATTTTTCCAGACACTAAAGTCAGAAAGGAGCACCTTACCTGTATACCTCCAAATATTCTTAACTCCCAGATGATAACATCAGCATTATTTGTCTCAGAACCCGAAGCTGAGAATCCCTATTCTATTCCTGAGGCATCCATCTGTAGAATTCAAAATAAAACAAAACAAAAAAACCTCTCATGGTTTCAGGCACCCCACTAGACCAGCTAGACCAGCTGTTCTCAAACACAGCAGGAGATCCTATGTTAGCATCACCTTGAGACCTTTTTAAACCCAGCCTCCTCCCTGCAGTGTTTGAGAACCACTGTACTAAGCAGTCAGATAGTGAACCATTCAACAGCAGGCACTGTTTCTTACTCACCTTTCAATACCGAACCACTGGTAAGTGTTAGAAGGATGGGTGGATGGACGGTTGAGCAGGGGGATGGGTGAATTAAGTTCCTACAACATATTTCTGGTCACAAAAGTATCGCCAAACTTCTAAATAAAGACTAAAACACTTCTAATATTAAACATTGAAATAAATATGAGCTATGTATGCATTTAAGAAAATTGAATAAAAACAAGTGAGACAATTTATGTATCCAATTATCCCAGTTGAGGATCGCAGGTGGCAAGAGCCTCTTCCAGCAGTTCAGGGCACAAGGCGGGAACCAGCCCTGGACAGGATGCCGTTTCATCGCAGGGCATGCTCTCACATACACCCGCGCTCACTCACACTGGGACACTGGACACACCAGTTAACCTCACTGCACAGCTGTGGGATGTGGGAGGAAACTGGAATACCCAGAGAAAACCCACGCAGACGTGGGGAGAATGTGCAAACTCCACAGACAGGGGTCCCAGACAGAAATCAATGTGTGTTTGTTTCTCATCAATGTCATAAGGAAACGATGCTAAACAAATTGAACAAATGACATTATTCAAGGACCTGCTGTATACAGCAATCTATGAGCATTAATAGTAGCCATTACTACTGCAATGTTATAAAAGCCGTGACCATCAGTCCTTAAGATCTCCCATAGTTTTAACCAGTCATCATCACTAAACTTAAAATGAAGTCAGTCCATTGAACCATGGTCACAGAAAATAGAAGGTTAGATTTGAACATCATCTAGATTTTTGCCTAAATAACCCAGGAAATCACCAGTCTCCCTTAGAAACCAAAATGTTCCTAGTCTTGAGATACCTCACCATTGGGCTTCCTCCAGAGGGCTTTGGCTGTCCCACAGGAATTTTTGTACCCTGGGCTATTGTCAAAGGCAACTGGACCTGAAGTCATGTTTTCATACTGTATTGTCATCATGGATATTAGTTGTGCGCTGGAAAGGGAAGGCAGGTTACAGAGCAATGTTCAACCTCACTGCAGGATCACTGAGGGCTTTGTGTTGAGGTTACAGAAGAACTTTCCCACTTTAAGTCTGTATGTAATCACGTGGTAGTTTTTCTCAGAAGCCAAATCCAAGCCAGTCACGCGGGGCCTTGGGCAAACCTCACCTCATATATCTTGGGGCAGAGTAGAAACAATTGCAGTCCTTATGACTGAATCAGAGGAATTGCAACATGACATCTTTTTGATGACAAAAATGATAATTTTATACCTTATAGGTGCAAAGACTTTGAAAGTACTCTAGTGCCCTCATCCTGAGATACGATATTCATAATGCTGATAAGAATCTAGGGGCCAAGATTCTTCTAGGTTTAGGGAAATTGAGACATAGCCCCAGTTTTCTAGACTTAGCCAAAGAAAGAAAATCTCTTTCAGTGAAATCATTCTCTAGAAATATTCCCACCTCTGTCTTTGAGTTCTCAAATAGCACGTTAGAATTAGAGAGGAATTTTATTAAAATGTGCAGTGCCTTCCTTCAGAAAGACAGGCCCCTCAAGGAGGTAGTTGCTTACTTGGGTGGGCTGCACTGGGACATTATCATTTGCCTTCCAATCTCAAAATAGATTGTTCATTGCTGACCTTACCATCTACAGGAATTGTACACGTAACACATATTCCCTGCATGAGTTAATAATCTGACTTCTTAGACAAGAGCATTCAGGAGTTCAGTCCTCAAAGCAAAGTCCTAGAAGGCTCTGCCTGACTTTCTTTTGCTGAGACCCTTAACTGGAAAAAAATTTTAAAAAAAAGGAGAGCAGGAACCTTATGTTCACTAGGTTGACACGTATGCTGAGAAACATTGGAAGCTAATACGTAAAAATAAAAAAAAAGGCTTTATTAAGATACTGGGATTTTTTTCTCTATTGGGAACTTAATATTAGCTGTTCTTATATCAGAGTTTCAATCAGATGCTTTTCTAATGAAAAGGCACACGCTGAGCAGGCCCCCGCAAGGACAGCATGTTGCCTCTTTGCTCACTTGGCATCAGGCTTTCTGGGGAACTTCGCTCATCACTGCAGCAGTAACTTCAGGTAAGCTCAGAAGGAGCTCTGCGTCCTTGCAGAAGAGCACCAGGGACCACGAAGAGCATGTGATGAAAAGAAAATGTCGGTAGTGGCAAAGACAACGTGCTTGTGAGTCACTCAGGGTGGAGTTTCCATCTTCGCTCTGGCCCTGTGAGACCCTGGACAAGTTACTCAAACTCTCTGAGCCTCAGAATACTCCCCTGTAAAATGCACACAATAACAAGGACCCTCAGATTGGCTTTTTGTGCCTGTGAAGTGCATAATGCGCCCTCAATGCTCAAGGAACGTTAGCTAATGCAACTCATCTGGTGGCTTGCACGCCATCACTGATTGCTTCTTTTCTTTCCTTTCCAACAGCTGGGACATTTTTCTGATGATCATTGCTGGCATGAAGCTGTTGCGGACTTCTTTCTGCAACCCAGTTCACCAGTTTGTTAACCTGAGTTTCACCGTCATCTTTTTCCACTTCGACTACAAAGACATTTCAGAGAGTTTCTTATTGGATTTCTTCATGGTGTCTATTTTATTTAGCAAGGCAAGTTCATCGGCTCTTTTCTTCATTTTAGCAGTTAAAAGGGGGGCATTTCCCATCAATTGTTTTAAGGGTTTAAAACTTTTTCTTTATAAAAAAAACTATAGAAGGAAATGAAATCGAAGTATTCACGTATGTTACACTCATGCTGCCATTTGGGAAAAATTCCCCATGGATTATAAATAGGCCATGTTTTTTGCTAAAAGTCACTAATTAAGATGAATTAGCCATTTGTGTGGCTTGAAATTTTATGATCTTTGTCTCCGTTAAAAAAAAAATCTCATTATAGAACTTCCCTAGGTTTTAAAATGCTCTGAATTAAAGATCAATAACCAGACTTATTATTGATTGATTGATTTATTATTTTATTGCTTATTTTGCCTCTTGAGGTAAAATTTGGGACCCAGTACCCGAGAGCAGGGTCCCTTGGAACATTTTCATTCCTTTACGTCGTCTCAAGTCAAGATTTCATCTGTCGTAAATTTGTACATGGGCAACGAGAAATCCTAATTATAATTTGGGCAGATACATGGGGCTGGCGTCTAATGTTTAGTGTGGCTGGAGGCAGATTATACCCTCCTGACATTGGTGGCCCCTCCACAACCATATGTGGTGTGACCACTGTCACAAAGCTTAGCTTTGTAAACAAAACTAGAAAGCAATTTGGAACAACTTCTGGTACATAAACTCAGCAATGATTGACTTCTTTCACATTCTGTTCGCATTCAGGCACACAATTTGCTGCAGCAGCCGTTGAGCTTCTGCTCGGGACTCAGTTAACCAACACAATAATGTTTTAAATGTTGAGGTTTTTTTCCCCCCTGAATTTCATTTTTTCCATCTATTTATGAATCAGTTCTGTTCACCTTTATTTTCTATTACTTACCTTTTCCTTCTACGGACTTCCTCTTTGTTTCTTTTGGGCAACGAAAACTGAAAACTCTCTATTAAAGAAGCCCCATAAGTAACTGCCATCACCCCATCACCAGAGCCTGCTCCAATGTCCATGTTTCATTCTAGACCCTGGCCTCGGTCAAACATTTGTTTCCTGTTTGCATGAGTTCTGTTTGGTTCTAATTGATTTATCCCATGTTTCTGACCAAATTGCAGGCTTTCATAACCTATTTTCCTTCATTATGTATAAATTCCCATTATCTCACATAATAAATGTAAAATTACGTCCTATGATCTTTAAAACATTGAAGTTATTAGAAATGATTTCACTGCTTGCAGGGATAAGAGCTTACCATTGAATATAAAATATATGCTGGAATGCGTTTAATTCCTGACTGGCATTATTTATATTTCGACAAGGTGACATTTATATTCTTTTCTGAACCTCAGTTTTCTATAAAATGGAAAATAATGATGCCAATGTCACCTGCGTGTTGAAAGGATTAATTAATATAACTATAAAAAGAGTTGGTAAGTAGGATATACTCTCCAAATTACAATGTGATGTTTTTAAAGCCATATGTAAATAGTAAAAGAGAAATCACACACTGTGTCTGTGAAGGAGTGTGACTGGTTTTCTACCCTGGACTGTCTGTTTAATATCATCCTTTATAAGTGAGAGGCCCCAGGTCAACAGAAAGCATTGGCAGAGAGGAGCGAGGTGTCTCTCTGTAAGGGTCTTAAGAGTGCGGCTTCTAAATGATGGCTTGTGCAGTAGGAAGAGTGTCTTTCATTTGCTGGGGCACAGGCCTGCTCTCCCCATCCAGCAGGCTGCTGGTGCACTGAGAACAGGCCGCTGCCGAAAATATGAGGCTACATGTGGGTGTCTGGTTAAAGGCGCTTGCACGAATTAAGGAAGGGAAGTGTGTAGCTATTGCACATTCTTCCTGTCCAGGACACTGAGCGCTATCTCTTGCAGAGTGAGGAAGGTAGAACCCGCCAGAACATGATCTAACACTAAATCCACGAAACACTAGTTGCTGCAGACATTTGGCATTCACTTTGCCGTAATCTTATTAAAATATGAATAATTTCAGACAGGATCAAAGTAGCAGCTTTCTTATTTTCTCTAACTGAGGAAGCATTAGCACATATAATTTGAATAATCTGCTTTTAGGCTGGGGTAATGGCTGAATGTAGTAGAAAAAAAAACAGAGAAAAGCAAATGAGATAAAAAGCTAAAAAATAGGCCTACTGTGCAGCAGTCAGGGCTCTGGGGCCTGGCCCCTCTCAACTCCCCGACACCTGCTCACTCTTTGCTTTTGGAGAGCTGGCCACAGTGGACAGCAGCAGCAAGGAGAAACTCACAGTTAGGGGCTCCTGTAAAGGTTCTGCCTGAAAATCCCAAGTGATGCTTCCTCTTCATTCTTCTCATTTTAATATATCTTCTAAAAAATTGTCTCTTTTAATGTATTTCCTAGAGGCTTTCTAGAAACCTCCAATACTGTGTTTACAGGCAATACTGCTCTCCGGCACTATTCACTGCACAGTGTGAAATGGTTTTTGTCCAGTAGACTCATCAGAGCCCCACTTATGACAGGTGCTTTCATCTGACCACTGCAGATACCTCTTGGTCCTTCCCCCAGCCCTGCTGCTATTGCACTGAATAGGGAGTTGTTGCTAACCTGGCAGCCTGCCTCACAGAAGGGCTTCGAAATTAATGAAGAGACGTTTGGATGGGCATCCAGTTTCCTTGGAAGAAAGGAGCTGCACAAATACAGGACGCAGTATTATTTATTATGAGCCAGTTGTCCCTGATCCTTCAGCATTCATGGGTAGAATGGAAAGAGAGAAGTGATGAGTGAGATGACCTGTAAAGTGAGATCAAAGCACCAGGTGGCAGGGAAAGAAATAGATGCTTCCAGAGGGCCCAGGCCAGCCTGCATGCTTGTCTCTGCCTCCCTGAATCCTTCAATCCTCTCAAGCTGATCTAGTCTCCTCTGTCTGCCAGACCTGCTGAAAAGTGGGAAATATTGAGTTCCAGGGCCAAAGTTCATCAGGACAGATTTAGTACAGCCCATACGTTGACACAGTGGGAGGGACACTTGATAATGGATGGTGCCTGGGCTTATGTGTGTGGGTGTGTGGGTGTGGAGGGCAGTGGGAAAGAAGGACCCTTGCATTTCCCAAACTCAGACGCATGACCCTCCAACCACACGCCCTGCGAGGAACATCACCTTTGAGAAGCCAGGCCCATCCTTTCTCACTCTCTCATTTCCTCAATCCTTTCTCTCTTTCTCTCTTGCCCCTTCAGTCATTCTTTTCCTTTAAGAACTCACATTATTAATTGGTTACATCTCTGATATGTCTAGATCTTTGGGGGACGGTAAGATATGTGCAGATGAGGCTATTTGGTTGCAAATAATATTCAGTTGTAACAGGAGCAAAGATGACAAAGCCTCTTCCGTGCTCTCCCACTGGCCCTGAAAAAGTTCTTAAAAACCATTCTGTTTTGAAAATCTTAGTAACTTTTGGTTGTAGGAGGTTGTAGAAGCAGGACTTGAGAAAATCCTGCCATAGGATCATTCTGCTAGCATTTACATAACACATTAAACATGAAATTCTGCAAGCTATTAGTCCAAAATGAGGGCTGGCCCTTTTGCCATTTGGGAAATTAAAATGAATGAGTAAGGTTGTTTTTATGATAAATCTGTATCAATAAACACACCAGAGCCGTGATGCGTGGCTGTATTTTAGGTGACTGCAATCGCTGTTCAAGTTATTTAGAAATCAGTTTCTAAATGACATTTTCCTTTATTTTGTGAGTGCAGGTGGAAAGTCTTGGTTGAAAATCGAACCCACTTTTTTAGAATGCATGCTTTTACAGAAGTATTTGTTCAAAATATTTTGTTCAGAAAAGCAATTGTTCATTTATTGGGTGCCTGCCGGGCATTGCGCTAGGTGCAAAGATTACTAGTAATACGGAGGAAAACAAATCCTTATTTGGCACTTTCCGTGCGCCAGGCACTATTCTGAACACTTTGCACAATATTCACTTGCTTGATTTTCACAACAGCTTTGTGTTTGGCTACTCCTCATTTTACAAATGAGGAAACCAAGGCACAGAAATTAAGTGAATTGCCAGAAGGTCTCACAGCTATGCAATGCGAGAGCAGAATTCAGACCTAGGCAGTCTGGCTCTGAATCTGTATTTTGTGACGCTGTGCCTTCCCTACTTGGGGAGTCTGAGAAAAGAGACAGACAGGTAAAGAGATAATTCCAATAAAGTATGATAAGGGAGGTGTCCATGACAGAGAGCTTCAAGAGCCCACATAAAAATGGTACCCAGCCCAACCTGGGAGAACCAGGAACAATGATGCTAACCTTGGGCTTTGACAAAGAAGGAGTAAGTCAGGCAAGGAAGTCAGGGAAAAGTGAGTTGCGCAGAGGAACTGCATGTGTAAAGGCACAGGAGCAGGAGAGAGTTTGGCATATTCTGGAAACTGCAAGATATTTGGGAAGTGTGAAAACATGGAAGAGGAGTAGGAGGTTGGAGAAGGGAGAGATGAAACAGGAGGTGTCATTAGGAGTTGGATCTCGAAGGACCAAGCATGCCATGCTACTGAGTTTGGACTTCATTCCTACATCAGCTGAAGATTGATAAGCACAGGAGTAAAAGGATCAGAATTGCATTTTAGAAATATTGCTTTGTGGAAGTGAGTAAAAGATGAGAAAGCATGAAGTCCTGGAACTGGATAGGAAATTATTGCAATAATCCAGGCAACTCACAGGGCTTGAATTGAGGTGGCAGAAGTGAGGAGAAGAGAAGGCCACAAATTAGAGGTGTTTGTTTAAGGAGAGTTTAGAGGTGTTTGTTTAAGGAGAGTTGACAGCACTGGTGACCATGGGGATAAGGGGGAAGTGGGAGAAAACCACCTCTGGGAGGGCTCCCAGCACACGTAAGTGACTGTGAAGGAGGGTGTCGTGAACTAGATTAGGAAATGAAAAAGAAAAAGACATTTTGGGGGAAAAGGATGATGATTTTAGATGGATTGTGAAATGAGAAGCCATGAGGACTAGAAATAAAAACCTGGGAAACACGATGTTTT